TGCTGTTGCTGTTGATGCTGTTGTTGTCGCTGCTGCTGCTGCTGCTGCTGTTGTTGTTGTTGTTGTTGTTGTTGTTGTTGTTGTTGTTGTTGATGCTGTTGTTGTCGCTGCTGCTGCTGCTGCTGTTGTTGTTGTTGTTGTTGTTGTTGTTGTTGTTGTTGTTGTTGTTATTGTTGTTGTCATTGTTGTTGTTATTGTTGTTGTTGTTTTTGTTGTTGCTGCTGTTGTTATTGCTGTTGTTGTTGTTGTTGTTGTTGTTGTTGTTGTTGTGGTTGTGGTTGTGGTTGTGGTTGTTGTTGTTGTTGTTGTTCTTTCCACGCAGCCCCCTGGCCCCTCCACAGCTTCCCAGGACCGCCTTGCCGTCCTGGATTGGTCTCTCGGATGGCCCCGCGTTCCGAACGCAGCCCCCCAGACGCAGACAGAAATGACGAATGACCTCTGCCCTGATTTTTTCGAGAAGCCAGAGGTCTTGGAAGGAGGCGCCCAGGCCGCCTCGTGTGGCCCACTCCTGGCCTGTACGAAGCCTTCCCAGGAGCCCCGGGGCCCTTCCAAGGCAGCCCCTGCCTCCTCAGAGGACCTCCCGGCCTTCTTGGAGAAGGTCGCCCCCCTTGCGACGCCCCGTTGGTGCGCGCCGCACGCGGGTAGAGTCCGAGCAGGCCGGGTCGGAGGATCGCACCACATCGGCGCTGCGTCAGCGATGCCTCGGCGATGGCTCGGCGATGCCTCGGCTGCGTCGGGATGGAAACGATCTGGCCCCGAATCTAGGGGAACGAAGGACGGCATGAACATAAAAACTCGGAGGCCCGCGCGGATTTCTCGGATCCGCGCTGGACCCCCACCCTGGTGCGCGGAGCGCGCCAGAGCGGTGCCAGAGGCGCCACCAGGGGGCCCCAGCGCGGATCCGAGACATCCGCGCGGACCTCCGAGTTATTATGTTGATGCCATTCTTCGTTCCCCTAATCGTTGGCACATCTTGGGATCACTCTCGTCCTCCTCCTTCCCCAAGTCCCACCATCCCGACGGGCGCCCGGTCCGACCCACCCACCCGCCCGCCCGGCCCTCCCCACGCGGACCTCCGCGTCATTGTGTTTATGCCACTCCTCGTTCCCCTACAGAGTCGAGCCCGCGCCGCCGATGCATCGGCGACGCGGCGCGATCCTCCAAGGTGGACGCCGGGGACCGCACGGCGAAGGTCCGCCTGGATGGCGCCGCGGGCGACGTGTGGCTTGCCGCGCGCGCGCTGGTTGGGGTCGGGCGCCGCGGCGCAGCTGGCACGCCTCGAGGCTCCGCGCGGGGAGGGCTGGGCGGGCGGTCGGGTGGTGGGCGGAGGAGGAGGAGGAGGAGGAGGAGGAGGAGGAGGAGGAGGAGGAGGAGGAGGAGGAGGAGGAGGAGGAGGAGGAGGAGGAGGAGGAGGAGGAGGAGGAGGAGGAGGAGGAGGAGGAGGAGGAGGCTCCGCGTGGGGAGGGCCCGGCGGGTGGGCGGGTGGTTAGAACTGGCGCTCGTCTGGGTGGTGGGATTTGGAGGAGGAGGAGGGCGAGAGTAGCCCCTGGCGCGCTTGGCGCGCCAGGGATGAGGGTCCAGCGCGGATCCGAGAAATCCTCGCGGACCTCAGAGTTTTTATGCTTGTGCCACCTTTCGTTCCCCTAGAACCAGGTCGGGCATGTCCTCCTAAAGGCGGATTGTCAGGACACAAACAGTAGTCGAACGTATTAGAGAATAGCCAGCATTTTTGAGGAAACCTCTCGGTCCCGAGCCCACTCCTCATGGGTCCCCACATACCGTCCCCACTTGCTGCAAGAAGCGCCCCTGTGAGCGACCACCACCGTGCGGGCTTAGGGGCCTGCCATTCAGGCGAGGGCCCCGAAAGGGAGCGGCGTTGCATCCTCCGTCTAGGGAGTATAGTTTGGAACGTGCAAAAGGTACGGACTTACAGTTTCAAGAGGTGTTCAGCGAGATCCCCGTGAATCCGCTGCACACTTTTGCATTGACTTGGCGCGGTGCTCGGGCGAGTGCTCCATCTTGGAAACGGCCCCCCTCTCCAGCCGTGAAGCTGCCGCAAACTTTACACCGGATGTGCGCGGCGCTTGGGCGAGAGCAACATGTTGAGGCCCCCCGTCCATCCATGGCAGTGTTCCAAACTTCTCCTCCTCCTCCTCCTCCTCCACTCCTCCTCCTCCTCCTCCTCCTCCTCCTCGTCCTCCTCCTCCGTCCATCCATGGCAGTGCTCCAAACTTCGAGCGCTGGATCGTACACGATGAGATCGCAGTCGAAATGCCTGGCCCGCCCTGCCCACACTTCTGGTGGTGCGACAGGGAGGAGGAGGAGGAGGAGGAGGAGGAGGAGGAGGAGGAGGAGGAGGAGGAGGAGGAGGAGGAGGAGGAGGAGGAGGAGGAGGAGGAGGAGGAGGAGGAGGAAGGAGGAGGAGGAGGAGGAGGAGGAGGAGGGGGAGGCGGAGGAAGAGGAGGAGGAGGAGGAGGAGGAGGATGAGGAGTGGGAGAACGGGGGGACAGGGAGGCGGATGAGGGGTGTAACGCAGGGAATCGGGCAGAAATCAGATCCAAGGCTCCAGGCAGAGATCACCCGCGTTCAGATTCTACGGAGGCGGGGGGTTGCAGTTCGCAGCGCCTTTGTTTGCACCTCTGGAGGACAGTTTCCCGTCCAAGGTAATGAAGTATTCCTCCTCTTCCTCCTCGCCTCTCCCCCTTTCATCACCTCTCATCCTCCGCTCTCCTCCTCCCCCCTTATCCCCTCCTCCTCCTCCTCTCTCCTCCTCCCTCCCCCTCCATCTCCTCCCCCTCTCCTTCCTCTCCTCCTCCTCCTTCCTCTCCCCTACACTCATCCTCTTCTCCCCTCTCCCCTCCTCTCCCTCTCTCTCCCTCCTCATCCTCTCATCCTCCTCTCTCCTTCTCCCCTCCTCCTCCTCCTCCCTCCCGCTTTCGTCCTCTTCCTCTTTTTCTTCTTCGTCTTCTTCTTCCTGGCTCGCCCCTGGCAGAGAGGCCCCGCCAGCACGCACGGCCCGCGACCCGCCCGCCAGGAGGCGCGGGCACGGTGCAGATGAAGCAGGACGCTCCCGCCGCCCCGCCCCTGAGGCGGGGGAGGGGCCACGAGCTTAGCTGAGGCTGACAGCGCGTTCGTTGCTGCTGCTGCTGCTCTTGTTGTTGTTCGTGTTGTTGTTGATGTTGGTGATGATGTTGTTGTTGTTGTTGTTGGTGCAGTTACTGCTGCTGTTGTTGTTGCTGTTGTCGTCGTTGTTGTTGTTGTTGTTGTTGTTGTTGTTGTTGTTGTTGTCGTTGTCGTTGTCGTTGTTGTTGTGGTTGTTGTGGTTGTTGTTGTTGTTGTTGTTGTTGTTGTTGTTGTTGTTATCGTTGTGGGTGTTGTTGTTGGTGTCGTTGTTGTTGTTGTTGTTGTTGTTGTTGTTGTTGTTGTTGTTGTTGTTGTCGTTAATGCTGTTGTAGTTGATGCTGTTGATGTTGTCGTTGTCGTTGTCGTTGTTGTCGTTGTCGTTGTCGTTGTCGTTGTCGTTGTTGTTGACGTTGTCGTTGTCGTTGTGGTTGTTGTTGTCGTTGTCGTTATTGTTGTTCTCGCTGTTGATCTCTCAATCCTAAAGAATAATTATTCCGTACCTAGGCTCTGCCTAGAAGGGTTCTTACCCTGTATGCTTAAAGGGCCGGGCAGTGCTCCCCGCCCCAGGCGGTTCCCCCAGGAGCCGCCCCGCGGTTCCCCCAGTGACGTTCCCTTAGCTTAGCGTTGCTTATCTCATCTTAGCTTAGCTTATTTCATCTTAGCTTAGCTTAGCTTCATCTTAGCTCAGGTTTATCTTAGCTTAGCTTATCTTCATTCCCTACCCAGGCTCTGCCTAGAGGGTTCTTACTTTGTTTGCTTACAGGGGCCGGGCAGTGTAGACCGCCCCCGGCGGTTCCCCCAGTCCCCGTCCCGCGGTTCCCCCAGTTGCGCCCCCTGGGTTCACCCAGCTTAGCTTAGCTAAGCTAAGCTTAGCTTAGATTAGCTTAGCTTATCTCATCTTAGCTTAGCTTAGCTTAGCTTTGCCTAGCCTAGCTTAGCTTAGCTGAGCTTCGCTTAGCTTAGCTTAGCTTATCTCATCTTAGCTTAGCTTAGCTTAGCTTGGCTTGGCTTGGCTTAGCTTAGCTTAGCTTAGCCTAACCTGGCTTAGCTTAGCTTAGCTTAGCTTCGCTTAGCATGGCTTAGTTTAGCTTAGCTTAGCGCAGCGCAGCAAAGCGCAGCGCAGCATTAGCACAGCATAGCACAGCATAGCCAAGCATAGCGTAGCATAGCATAGCATAGCTCAGCATAGCATAGCATAGCATAGCATTGCTTAGCATAGCACAGCGCAGCAAAGCATAGCATAGCATAGCATATTCTTGCTTTCCTAGAGGCTCCAACTCCTAGGTAGGGTCGCACTGGGATAATTGCTGGTCCCCCCCCACCGGTGCATACTGTTCCCTACCTAGGCTCTGCCTAGAAGGGTTCTTACTCTCTATCTTAAAGGGGCCAGGCAGTGTAAATCGCCCCGGGCGGTTCCCCCAGGATCCGCCCCGCGGTTCCCCCAGTTACGTCCCCTTAGCTTAGCGTTGCTTATCTCATCTTAGCTTAGCTTATTTCATCTTAGCTTAGCTTAGCTTAGCTTCATCTTAGCTCAAGTTTATCTTAGCTGAGCTTACCTTCATCTTAGCTTCGCTGAGCTTTAGCATAGCAGAGCACAGCATAGCATAGCATAGCGTAGCATAGCATAGCGCATCGTAGCATATCGTAGCATAGGCCAGCATAGCATAGCATAGCGCAGCATAGCATAGCATAGCATAGCATAGCGCAGCACAGCACAGCACAGCATAGCACAGCGCAACATAGCATAGCATAGCATAGCAGAGCATGGCATATCATAGCAGCGAAGCAAAGGCAAAGCAACAGCAGCGACAGCAAAGCAAAGCACAAGCAGCGCACAGCAAAGCAAAGCAAAAGCAAAAGCAAAGCAAAGGAAAGGCAAAACAATTCCCTACCTAGGCTCTGTCTAGAGGGTTATCTTAGCTTAGTTTAGCTTAGCATAGCGCAGCGCAGCGCTGCATTAGCATAGCATAGCATAGCATAGCATCACATAACCAATCATATCATACCATATCATAGCACAGCGCAGCGTAGCATACCATAACATATCATAGCATAGCATACCATAGCATATCATAACATAACATACCATAGCACAGCGCAGCGTAGCATACCATAGCATAGCGCAGCTTAGCATAACATGGTATAACATATCATAGCTTAGCATCGCACAGCGCAGCATCACATAACATATCATAGCTTAGCATATCATAGCATGGCGCAGCATATCATAGCATAGCATAGCATATCATAGCATAGCGCAGCATAGCATAGCATAGCAACTAATGCTGCTTTCCTAGGGGCTCCAACTTCTAGGTAGGGTCGCACTGGGATATTTTGTTCTTAGTGAAAGTGTGCCCATCGACGCTCGCACCATGTTTGACAGGGAAAGGCTTGATGGTCAAACTGTGCCCCTGGCTCCCAGGTTACAACAACAACGGCTCCCGCCTGAGACTTCCTCACAATTTAGCCAGACCCCCCGCTTCCGCCCGAGACTTCCTCGCATTTTATACAGGAATCGCGCTCTCGCTTGGGACTTCCTTACAATTTATTCAGGACCTGCTCTCCAGGCGCTCTGGAGTCGCTCTCTCGCTGGAGACTTACTTGCAATTTACTGAAGAATAGCGCCCTTGCGTTGGAATTCCCTGTAATTTCTTCCAGCGCCGCGCACACCCAGGCATCCAGAAGTCGTGCTCACGCTTAGGACTCCCTCACAGATTACCTCGGAATCGGGATCTCGCTGCCCTTCGTGGCCCCGTTGTAGCCCTTCGTGGCCCCCTCGCTGCCCTCCTTGGCCCCGTTGCAGCCCCTCGTGGCCTCCTCGCTGCCCTTCGTGGCCCCGTTGCAGCCCTTCGTGGCCCCCTCGCTTTGTTTCGTGGCCCCGTTGCAGCCCTTTGTGGCCCCCTCGCCTCGCTGCCCTTCGTGGCCCTGTTGCAGCCCTTCTTGGCCCCGTTGCAGCCCTTCGTGGCCCCCTCGCTGCCCTTCGTGGGCCCGTTGCAGCCCCTCGTGGCCCCCTCGCTGTCCTTCGTGGCCCCATATATGTATGCCCTTCGTGGCCCCTTCTCGTTTGCGCCCGTGGTGGCCCCATATGCATGCCCTTCGTGGCCCCGCTGTCGCCCTTCGTGGCCCCGTTGCTGCCCTCAGTGGCCCCGTCCTTGCCCTCCGCGGCCCAGCATACGTATGCCCTTCGTGGCCTTTGCTCGTTCGCGCCCGTTGTGGCCCTATGTGCATGCCGTTCGTGGCCCCGCTGTCGCCGTTTGTGGCCCCCTCACTGTCCTACGTGGCCCAGTTGCTACCCTCAGTGGCCCCATCGTTGCCTCCTGTGGCCGGCCCCCGCTCGTTCGCGCTATTCGTGGCCCCATACGCATTCCCTTCGTGTCCCCGCTGTCGCCCTTCGTGGCCTACTTCGTGTCCTTCGTGGCCTGCTGTCGTTCTCTCTCGCTCTCGCTTTCGCTCGTCGTCGTCGTCGCCGTCGTCGTCGTCGTCGTCGTCGTCGTCGTCGTCCGTCGTCGTCGTCGTCGTCGTCGTCGGTCGGTCCCCTGTCCGTCCCTCTTGGGGTCGGGTCGACGGTCCGCGGCCGCCCCGCCGATCAGCGCTGCCGCTGGCCAGGCCGACGGTCCGCGGCCGCCCCGTCGCTTGCCGGGGCCCGGCCTGCAGGGAAGAAAAGTATACCCCCCTAAAGGGGTACGATCGAAGACGAAGAGGGCGGGTATCTAGGGTTTGGGAAATACACGTTCTTGGACACTCGAGCAGATAAGGGCGAACAATATTAAAAGGATTGTTGTTGTTGATGATTGTCGTTGATTTCTGTTGTGGTTGCTGTTGCTGTTGCTGTTGTTGCTGCTGCTGTTGTTGTTGCTGTTGTTGCTGCTGCTGTTGTTGCCGCTGTTGCTGTTGTTGTTGTTGTTGTTGTTGTTGCTGTTATTATTGTTGTTGTTGTGGCGGTGGTGGTGGTGGTGGCAGTTTTGGTTGTGGTTGTTGTGGTCGTGGTTGTGGTTGTCGTTGTGGTTTTGGTTGTGGATGTGGTCGTGGTTGTTGTTCTCGTGGGTGAACTCTCATTTCTGGAAAAACTCTTGTTGGTCCCCCCCTCCAGGACACTTTCAATTAAAGTGATTTCCTGGTGCTCGCGCCCTGTTTTTCCACAACGGAAAGCGATGGGTCACCAAACTGGGCCCTTGGCCCCCGAGTTACAACAACAATGCCTTCCGCCTGATACTTCCTCACACTTTACTTACAAATCGCGCTCTCGCGCGGGACTTCCACACAATTTATGCAGGAAGCGCGCTCTCGCGTGGGACTTCCTGGTAATTTGTTCATCCGCCCCGCCCTCGACACTTAGGAATCACGCTCTCGCTGTGGACTTCCTCACGCTTGATTTGGGAATAGAGCTATCGCTCGAGCCTTCCTCGCGATTCATGCAGGACGCATGCTTCAGCAACCCACCTGCTCGACCTGGCCGCCTGGGCCCGCCTTCCCGACCCGCCCGTTAGGGTCTATCCGCCCGATCTGCTTGGTTCTGCCACGTGTTTTCTGTTCCTGGCCCCCTCCTGCTAGTCTCTCTCGTGCTCCATCCTCCTCCCTCCCCCTGGTCCCTTCCTTCCACCCGTCCTCTCTTCCCATGCCTCAGGGGCTGCACGAAATACACTTAGCAGGTAAGAAAGAGAGAGGGAGAGAGAGAGAGATCTACACACACACACCCAAGGGGGTACGATCGAAGACGATTAGGGCGGGTATCGAGGGCTTGGAATATACGTGTTGAATGGCGCGCGGGCAGATGAGAACGAACAGTCTTAACATGATTGTTGTTGTCGCTGCTGCTGCTGCTGTTGTTGTTGCTGTTGGTGTTGTTGTTGTTGTTGTTGTTGTTGTTGTGATTGTTATTGTTGTGATTGTTGTTGTTGTTGTTGTTGTTGTTGAACATTATTACTTCTAAAGAATAATTATTG